GTGATAAATGTATTTGATAAAATGTATTTGAAAAAGAAGGTGGGAAGCGGCAATATCACCGCCCCAAGAGTCAGAGGCAGACAGAGGCACACATCCGAACATCCAAGAGAAGGAGGGAAGCGCCAGAGGTGCCACCGGCCAAAGGGAGAGATTTCCAAAGGACCAGAGGATGAGCAAAGCCCCGTGACCAGCAAAGCTATACTCTGATTAAAAAGTGTTGAACAATATACACTCATTCAAAAAATAATTTTTTGTAGGACTCTATGCTTTTTTCCAAAACCTCCTTAAGCAGCAATGATTTTAAGCAATCATTTTCACACCATTTCATGCTGGGGTGCTTGTTGTGGTTAAGTTTAGGGATAAAGTTATGGTTAGAGTTAGGATTATGGTTAGGCTGGAATGTGTGTTACTGCCAGGAGCGTCATTCTATATGATTTCATTCACGATCCGGTTCGTATTATAGGGAAGTAGAAGGTTACCTTTCGCGTTCCCATGGGACAAATCGTCAGTATGTTACGCGTCAGGAATGGGAACGGGCCCGATTCTTTGGATACACGAGACCAATAATAACCTGCAGCAGAATGATGGGGACAGAAAAGCATGAGGAAGATGAGAAACAGAACACATACTTAAACAAGTTGTGGAGTTCCTAATAGACTTTTAAACTGTATTGCAATGGGTGCTACTAGAAGTCACCAAACATGATATCTGAGTTATGTCTCTGGTATTTTCCCTGACCACAGTGCAATACTTCATTTGCATTTTGCTTTTTCCTTCTTCCTTGTTTTGAGTAGTTGCTCCGGTCTGCTCCTGGAGAGGGATTGTTGTTCGGGTATTAAAGACAATCCAGAACAAGCAGAAACTGAAAGTATTTGCAGTAAAGACAGTAAAGGTATTTCAAGACAACAAATGCAGCATTTGGTGATGCCTGTGGTTTCTGGACTTCTTAACAGTCCTTACACCTAAAATTATGCTAGTTTGAGTATTTTTCAAAGTTCAAAGCCAGCTTTACTGTCAAAAGCCATATGTACAGATCATAAACATTATTTTAAAAATTGCAGTCCTCAGTATTACACTAAAACATGTGAAAATATGAGACTTTTTTCCCTTCCATAGAACAAGCAGTATGTGCTACGCTGATGACTAGGTTGAGTGGATGGCATGAAATAAAAAGGCCCAAGAAATAGAAAATAATGTATTTTAGAGCCAAGCTGAGCTCGTGCCTTGTCAAACACCTTTATACTTGTTTCTGTTATTGTTTTTGCTTTTTCTGTTGCAGCTGTATAATTATTAGAAGAGCCACAGCAAACATGCAAACTTGCTCACAAGTATTTTAATTATTCTAAACTGATGACCAACTTCTGTCTCTAACATATTTTCTGATGACTATCTAACTCACACCAAGTTTTTTTTTCCTCCTTCCTTGTTTTGAGTAGTTCCTCAACCTGGAACGGGTTGCCCCTGTTTGCTCCTGTAGAGTGGTTGATGTTCAGTTATCAAGTACAGGGCAGAACAAGCAACAATTGCAGGTGTTTCCAGTAAAGCATCACAAGATTCTATCTAAAATTTTGTTAGTTTTCATGCTGGACTGTTTACTCTTTCACAGAGTAAGCAGCATGCTCGCTGCATTGATCGTGGCGATCGTGGCTCAAGAGTTGCCGGTTCATCTTGTAATCGGAAAGTTGCTGCTCCCTGCCTGCACTGCACATAACTATATATGTATGTATATATGCTATATGTACCCACTGCCTGTATTTCAAATTTATATCACATCACAGAAAATATATTGCTTTCCAGCAAATGTGCTTTTGCTGTGCTGTACTTTGTTTGATACAGTAGGAAACCATAATTGCACAGCTCAACCCAGAGGAAAGAATGTTTCAGTGCTCAGCAGTGCTGTTGCCATGTGAAGGGCCATTGTGTCTAAGAATCACTGTAATTGCTAAACAGTTAATAATAATAAAAAAAAATTAAAAAAAATTAAAGCCCCTTGAATTACATTGGAAAGTCTGCACTTCAACTGAGTATTGGGGAAAAAATGGTGGTGGTCCACATAAACAAAAATGTCTATGTCTAATTATACTTATTAGAATTCTTAGACAAGAAAAACACACCTGTTGGCAAGCATGCAAACTTGCTCACAGGTATTTCAAGCATTCTGACTTCTTTCCGACATATTTCCTCATGACTTTCTAGTTCACACACTCTTTTTTCCCTCTTCCTTGTTTTGATTAGTTATTGCATCTAGAACTGGGGGAATTACTCAAAACAAGGAAATGCTTTTGAACATCTGAAAATGGGTGAAAAAATCTAATAGGTGAACAGTTAAATCTACATTTAAAATCTAAACTGAATGTTGTTCATCTGAGGATTTATTGAATATATTTAGAATTTGCTAATGACAAGATGATTTTTCTTTATCATTTCCTGATACACAAAAACATTTTGTTCATCATACAGGTACAATTAGTCGAGAGAGACTATATTTTCTTCTGTTAGACACACTTATATCTGGTGAATAAACAGTAATATACACAGGAATGCAGCACAATGTCAAAGTGAAGGCATTACCCTTTTCATTTACTTTTTGTCTTGTTTTCTAAGAGATGCACAGAATTTTGATGAATTAGGATGACTCATTTTATTCTTATCCAAAGATTTGTAGAAACCTTAAAAAAAAAGTGAAATCAGTGTTATGTTGGCAGTGGAACAAAGGAATTATCTTATACTTATCCAGGGTCTGATTGGTTGTTTTGAACTTTTTTAGGTTGAATTCTTTGTTTGGTGTTCTTAGTTTTGTTTATTTTTTTGTTGGGGCATTTTGGAGTTTTCATTTTTTTATTTAGTTTTAGAGATCAAATTGTTCTGTCATCATCTTGTGTCGACTCACTGAGGCTAGGTTCATTCTTATGTTTGTGTTTTTCTTTTTAGTTATGATGCTCATTTCCTTTTTTATTTTGACAGTTGTTTTATAGTGTCTTGTGTTTACCCTCATCCCCGACCACTACTTCTCTCATTGTCTTTGAATATCTACACCTTTCCCTTCCATATGATTAATAATGTGTCAGTGACACTAGGACCACCTCTAAGACACCCACTGTAAGAGTTAAATACCTGTGACACTGTCAGTTGTTTTAGCCTCTTGGACAAGAGGAAAAGCATCTTCGTGAACCTACAGTGGTCCAGTTGCCTTCTTTAAGCACTCAACACAACCTTTCAGTAAGCATGTCAGCAAGGGGGAAAATGCACCCCAAAATATCAAAGACAATTTATTCATTTATTTTTGGATAACACATAATATAGAAATATTCTACTTGATGTTCTTATTGAAGAATAGTTATTTAAAAGTAGAAAGTAGCTTAATTTATCTAGAGGAACAGATTTTGTGATTTGGTGGAAATACAAGAGTACAAACTGAGTCGACTTTTTCACTTTATTAAAAGTTATTTGTTAAACAAAGAATTAATTTCTTTAGCTTACAAAAAAGAAAAAAAAAGAAATAATTCTCTTAGTGAGCAGCA